GGCGCGCATGGAGTCACAGATCAACGGGGATGGTCACATGTGGAAAAAACATTCGGCCTCTTTAGATGCCACTCACTCACTTTTTCCTTGTCCATCCAGCACTTTTGAATGGCCTTCACGATCACTCCGGCTGGAAGCTTTTTTTTAGACAGCGTCTTCCTCTTAAAAATCACAAAAGGTGGCAGTTTCTCTCCATTACCATGGCAACCAAGCACAACTGTAAAAGCCGACTTATCGCGCCATGTTGTGCGTATTGCTACCATGGTGGTCCCCTCCTTTTCTACGGTGCAGTTCACCGGGAGGTTGAAAGTGAGCGGCCCTTCGTCGATGTTGGTTATGTGGTTGGGCTGAATGTGTTTGTCGGCAAACTTTTTACTGCAGTAGGAGCGGAATATGGCCAGCTTTTTCTTGTAATCTGCCGGATGTTGCTACGCCACTGTCGTCCTTGCCCGGATGGATAGATGGCACCGTTTCATAAAATGAAAGTATCAAGCACCATGGATGAGTTGATCTTGAATTCTATCGTGACTGCTCGATTCCCATGGTCCTCGGCATAACTGACAGCTTGCAGTTTAAACTGTGCTGTGTAAGCGTGCCTCTTTGTCGGTGCCATTTTCGGGGGTCCTTAGCCAAACTGATGTTGTTTTGCATAATGCACATACCGGCACTATATACACCTAATGGGGGTGTGCCTTTAGCATCCTCTTTCACGCCCATCCTTCGCCCTTTCACAACTGCATGCTGTCCTCAGTCACATTCGCCTTTCCTCTATATAAGCAGCGTGTCGGCACAACATCAGTCAGTCAAGCGGAGCGCTCATCAAAGTCACACAACATTCACAGATTTTGGAATTTGGTGCATAAATAAGGCATCCCACAGGATTTGGCGCACCATCCATTTTGGAGAAAATTGTAAGTCATCATGTGGACCCGTTGTGGACTGTGATTACTTATGACAATCATAGGAGCAGTCAATCTTCGATGCTTGATGGCTGTGCTTTCACAGCATCATGTTTGTCCTGTTTTTGTTGAGCGGAAAGTCGGTGCTTTTGGCCGGCTGCCGACGGCGATAGAATGACTATGAGGTGCTTGTTGTTTTTCACCTTGACTGCCAGCCTTTTTTTCAAAAACTCAGATTTTGTTCAGCGGAAAATGTCAGTGCTTTTGTACTGTCTTTTGACGATATGGCTTGAGGAGCTGCAACGTGAGGTCATGAAAATGGAGCTGAGTGAGCCCCGGAGGAAATGTGGAGAAAAATGAGAGTTGTTGCTAAAAAAAAAAAGTAAATTACGTGAGAAAGATTAATGGAGAATGGAACCAATATTTCCGTATGTGTGTTACTCGGAAAAAGAAGAATCTTCAGCTATTAAAGAAACAAAAAACTGCAATTGATTGTTTACTTTCAAACTTAGCTTGTAGCAAAAGAAGGACCTCATGTACACTGCTGGTCAACTGAGACTTCAATCTTGCTCCCCTCTCTCAGCTTCACAGCTTCAAAAGGAATGTGCAATGAGAGGCATTACAACTCCACACCTCTTGTATGCAACATGATGTGTGTGCAAAGAATTCAAAGTGCACTATGTTCTTCAGTGAGCCCGCTATTTGTGGGTGTTGGGGACCAGGAACAACAGGGAATCATGAAAATTTGATGCTGATGATAATTGCTCTCAAAACTTTTCTTTTCCACCCAAAAGGTAAGTGGGAATTCGGGTAAAAAACACACAAATAAGCAGGTGATCGTGAAATAAGCAACACAAATGAGCAAAGGGTTCCGTGAATAACGGAGGATAGGTTCGCCCAAAAATGAGCGAATTATTTGTTGTTGAAATTATATACAATTATGCATCAATGTCCTGCAGTACAATCGTAAACAAATGCTGTGATGCATTATAAAAATGCATATATATTTAGATTGTTTATAATGCCACTGTCAGAGTGGTATTAATTTAAAATCTTTTTGCCTGGTTGTCAAAAGTTGTGAGGAATATAAAAATAACTGATCAGTAAAGTATCATCTTCTTTCGTCATCATCTAGGGCACATTGCAACAATACCAAAAGGCTGGTGCTAGACACATTGCTGCCCGAAACATGGTTTTCTCAAATACAGCTTGTCTTGCATCAAAAGGTCAAACTCACTCTACTGCTCTGTAAACCTTTCTGCAATGTTCTAACATTGATGCCTATCAAATTTTCAGTTGAAGCTCTCCAAGAAGACAATCAAAGATGCAAATCGTCAGACTCACCATCAGCCAAGTATGTGGACTCCAAAGGAACTGTGTGGGCCTAGAGACAAACACAACAGTATGTTATTACAAGTTCGACTTGAAACAATTATTGCTGCATCATACCTTTGACAACAGGGATTACCAAATTAAATGTTAGAGGGGGGGGGGGGGCACAATTTTTCATTAGTGCTGTTCGGGGCCACATAGGAACACACACTTCCTAACCAGCTCTGTGACAATAATGTTATTTTATACTGGGACAAAATTCGTGCATATGTGCAAAACACATGCTATTAATCTATTCCATTTTTCATAATAAATTTTTCATAATAAATAAATGTATAAAACAGTCACTATACATCCCAACCCAACAATAATGGATTTGAAGCAAACAACAAAGGCCTGTCTTGCAAAAAAATTACAATTTTTTTTCACCAAAATCAACTCATTCAAAATTTTCAAACTATTGAGGTACTACATTTGTCCTGCATCTCATCCTATAGCCTCCGAAAATTATTCGGCCTACCCATGTGAGGCATAGGGCAGTATAAGACCTTGTGCAAGCGGAACATAGCTATGTCTGTCATATAGATATAAATGGTGATACTACAACTTAAAACTATAGTTGATACATATTCACATTTCAGCACCTGCAAGTTCGCATATTGACCCTTTTCATGCACCCTGTAACCTGATAAGATGATAAGATGTCCACTGTAGTAACCGCTGGGGTTATTTTTCTTTTTTCTTTAAACATTTAGGGGGCAGGAGATTTTTTTCTGGGATTTTTTTTTCTTCATTTAACCCACATTTTTAGTAGAATACGTACAATGCATGTTCATCAGCGTATTCTGAAGAATTTTGTTTGTTTTGAAAATTAATCAAGGAGCCATTCATAGTGTGGTTGTGGGCCACAGTTGCAGGTACCTGTAGGATATTATTATACAGTCTTGATCGATTGTCCCGGTTTGAGGAAAAATCGACAAATTTTACTTAGCTCATTGCTGACATTTAAAGATAAATCTAGAGTTCTGGTGAAATTTTGAGTAAATTCCATTTCATCATTAAAACAGTTTATATTAATACAAAGATTGCTCTGACACACTGACTGAGGACATTTTCAAATGATGCTTCATCGCGACAAAAGTCCAAGGCAATTTAATTCCATAGCTTTAAGAACATATACAGTAAATACTTTTGAAATAATGTTTTCATGACACAAATTCTCACCATTTCCCAGGCAGCAGGGTCATGTTTGAAGAGCGAGTGCGTGAGCTCCACTGACACTCTTTTCCTGTAGTCTGAGCTTTTGTCCTCTGAAATTCGAAATAGCACTGCTGCAGCGTAGGTGGCTGTGGAGAGATATCAAAGTTTAGATTAGCTCGAATGGAAAGTCAAGTTAACCCCGCTGAAGAAGGGTCCTCTGAGAACTGGAAGATTACAAGACTCTTCATTTTTTTTCTCACTAGATTTTGCGGAACTCCAAGAACAGACAGAGTTGCTGCAAATATAAACTGATAGTCTCTTAAAAATCATATGAATGACAATGCCATGCTTTGGTTAGGTAGTAAATGCTAAAGAAAATGTCATTGATGCATCAGAGCGGCAGTTTTATCAACAACACATTTGTCAATAAAAGAACAGCAACATCATTTTTAAGTGATTCTTGCATGGAGGTCAAAAGAGGATGAATTAATTTGCAATTAAATTGTGAATTCTGATGAATTTAGTACATCATGAGCGTGTTTTCATATTATTTAGCTATACACAGTATCTTGAAAAGCTGAGACAAATGTAAATAAGAGACCCTGTCTCGGTAATGCCATGTTGGGGAATCCTAAAGTCAGTAAACATTTATTGTAGACATACTATGGGTAACTGCATCCTATTTTCTTGCTAAAAAGGGTAGTTAACATTTACACACGTCACTGTTTTATCAGACATTCTAGCTCTTGAAATGATTTAAATAAATTTTACGTGGAAGTTGTCACAACATTTCTTTCACCTGATATTCTTCCGATATAATGTTAACTAATGGATTGTGATGATCAATAATGTTGGCAAATAATTGCAATACTTGTGTATTGAATGCTGCCCGGCCACTGCTGCAAAATTCAGTTCATGACATGCAATAACAAGCTACTATGTCTCTCTCTCACACGCACGCACGCACGCACGCACGTACGCACGCACGCACACACACACACACACACACACACACACACACACACACACACACACACACACACGATTTATTAATTTTTGGGGGTTTGTGTTTTTCTGCCTTATCTAGACATAAAGCAATTGCCTCATTCACGAATTCCCACACACATTCTGGACATTGCTTTACATGGTGCCAACCAGCGTATGAAAAGTAATTAACGGAACCATGTCTTGCTCACAAAAAAACAACCTCTGGGCAGCTACAGATTAAAACACTGAGTTTTCAATCACTACTTGCCACAGAAAACTGCACGGTCAATATATGGTGGTAGCTAATTGGTTGCCGCACGATGTAACATCAGGTCAGATTCTTGTTGTATTGCTCTTTGACAACACGGCCGTGACATCACGGGTTGGTAAATATGGGTTTTCAATCTAGGGTTGGGGGTCAAACACAATTTTGAAATCTACGTAAGCATGGAGCAGCCAGTGTGGAGTAAAGATATTTCGACTGACAAATACGTTCAGCCAGCACGATGGTCGACTGGTTAGCATGTCGGCCTCACAGTGCAGAGGGGCAGGGTTCGATTCTGGCTCTGGCCTTCCTGTGTGGAGTTTGCATGTTCTCCTCATGCCTGCGTAGGTTTTCTCCGGGTACTCCGGTTTCCTCTGACATTCCAAAAACAAGCATGGCAGGTTTACGGAACACTCTAAATTGTCCCTCAATGTGATTATGAGCACGGATAGTTGTTCGTCTGCGTGTGCCCTGCGATTGGCTAGCAACCGGTTCAGGCTGAGTGTTTCATGTGAGCTGAAAAAAAAAAAAAAAAAGAGCCTACCAATTCCTTCATTGTTGGAGTGCAGTAATTCCATGAGTGGTGCCGATGCGCCTTCTGCATCAATGAGTTCCGCAGACTGTTTGTCCAGCGCCAACTCACACAAAACTCCTGCAGCTACTCGTTTCACATTCTCCACATATGAGTACAGCAGCTGGACACACAACACACAAATTTGCCACTTTATAGTGATTGTTTCAGTGGCTTCTTGGACAACTACATTTTCCATGTTTCCTTCAGTGTTTCATTTTTTTTCCATTTCCATTTGGAAATGTAGTCAACATGGAAAAATCTTTGATATGGTCTTTGCCTCTCTCCTCATGTGAAACCAAGATGAAATTTGGATTTAACTTTTTGACATACAGTGACTGTTTTAGTAAGTTTCATTCTTGCCGCATTCTAACGCCTTGCTGATATTCCTTCAACACGTCACATCCAGAGCAATCTAAAGAAATTCCACTGCTTTTGTAATCATATTAAACTTAATCCTGATTATATTCCAGGAATCACGAATAAAGTATTACCACCCTCGCATGCAGTGAGGGGAAGATAGGCTGGAAATTGACTTTCTCACTCCGATCTGTATTTTATGAGAAATTGACTTCCTTACTCCTATCTGTATTTTATGAATTTTATTTTGTTCTTAGGACTGAATAAGAGTGTACCTGCACAAACAGCGGTATGGTCTGCATGCTCGCAATCTCTCCTCGGTTAATAGGATCCCTGGCCAAAATGTGAAGTGCTCCTGTGCAGCCCTCCACAATTTCCTCCATACGGACACCATCCTATTAAAATATTCAAAACAAGAGAATGCATCAAAAACAGAAATGAACATGGTTATCTAACATACTATAGTATGCTCTAGCTTGTAGTGTGTATGTGGCTATGTTTGTGGGATCTTCACACCTGATATGTCTGCTGGGAAGACGAGGCATGCCTCTGTGTGTCCTGGTGAGCTTTTAACAGTAGATTTACCAAACGTGGGATTGTCCCCGCATCCCTCAGAGGTGCTTGATTAACTGGGCACAGCGCAAGGTTCCGAATGAGGCCAACAGTAGCCTGGATGAATAAGTCAAATCAGATCAGAAACTAACCAATTTTATCGACACACACACAAAGGTAACACACAAACAGATTAAAAAACAAACTGTCAGTGTAACAGTGTCACTCCAAAGTGCAACAGACACAAGAGATAGAAACCTGTATGTTAAAATTATTCAAATCATGATAATAAAATGCATATTGAATGAGCAAAAACAGATTCCATGCCAGTACATGTAAAAATCTATGGATGTGTGGTGAGAAGGGCGTCACGTTTTTGTCACGTATGTTTCGTCAGTTGTCGGCATTAAGTCGGAATCGTTTCTAGTGAGGGTTGGACAACGCCAAGGCTGCCCTTTGTCGCTGATTCTGTTCATAACCTTTATGGACACAATTTCTAGGCGCAGCCGAGGCGTTAGGGGGTCCGTTTTGGTGGCCTCAGTATTGTATCTCTGCTTTTTGCAGATGATGTGGTACTGTTGGTTCCTTCAAGCAGGGCTCTCCAACTCTCACTGGAGCGTTACGCAGCCGAGTGTGAAGTGGTTGGGATGAAAATCAGCACCTCCAAATCTGAAACAATGGTCCTCAGTCGGAAAAGGGTGGAGAGCCCTCTGCGGGTCGGGGAGGAGATCTTGCCCCAAGTGGAGGAGTTTAAGTATCTTGGGGTCTTGTTCACGAGTGAGGGCAGGAGGGAGCGAGAGATCGACAGGCGGATCGATGCAGTGTCTGCTGTGATGCGGACTTTGTATCGCTCTGTCGTGGTGAAGAAGGAAATGAGCCAAAGGGCGAATCTCTCAATTTACCAGTCGATCTATGTTCCAACCCTCATCTATGGTCACGAGCTATGGGTCGTGACCGAAAGAACGAGATCCCGGATACAAGCCGCCGAAATGAGTTTTCTCCGCAGGGTGTCCGGGCTCTCCCTTAGAGATAAGGTGAGAAGCTCGGTCATCCGGGAGGGGCTCAGAGTCGAGCAGCTTCTCCTCCATGTCGAGAGGAGCCAGATGAGGTGGCTCGGCCATCTGCTTAGGATGCCCCCTGAACGCCTACCCGGTGAGGTGTTCCGGGCATGTCCCACCGGCAGGAGGCCCCGGGGACAACCCAGGACACGCTGGAGAGACTATGTCACCCAGCTGGCCTGGGAACGCCTCGGGATCCCCCGGGAAGAGCTAGAAGAAGTGGCTGGGGAAAAGGAAGTCTGGGCTTCCCTGCTAAAGCTGCTACCCCCGCGACCTGACCCGGGATAAGCGGTAGAAAATGGATGGATCGATGGATGGATGTTCCGTCAGCCATCCACAATTAGCGGCCCACAGGCCAAATCTGGCCCACAAGAGCAAATCATCCGGCCCGCAAGACGAGCCCCCCGTGCCAATTGCCTGACACTTGTCATAACCAGACTTGGAGGATGCAACACATGGATAAATTGTCACAAAAAGCTCAATGGGATGGGCCAACTTACCTCCAGTAGTAGCCGCAATATTGTGAGCAAACCATATAATCACCGCTACCATTTGTGTGATGATCCAGATGATCCCGTTTTTGTGTGTCTCCAGCAGATGGCAGAGGAGGGACTTCCCTCCAGCGTGCACACCTGCTGCTAATGTCACATTAGCCTGGTATTTAAGAACTGCCTTATTGCCAAGTCTCCGTCGGAATATTGACCTTGTTTGCTGCTTATGCTCAAGTGCTGTTTTTTTCGACCTCTTGATCTGGTCATTGTCATTTTTGCTCTCTCATATCTCATTAGTAAGTATGGATATTATTTTGTCTTTGATCTTGCCCCTGTTTTGTTGTCATGTAATTGGGCTCTTGTCATTTTGTTTGTATTTTCCGCGTTACTATTACCTTGCCTTTTTGCAAGTGCTTTTTGTTTTTGCCTTTTTTTTCCTGACTTCTAATGACCAGCGATTTCTGTTTATACTTTGTCTGTGCGCTTTTCCTTTTCTATAAGTATTTTTGTCTATGTTTGTGAGATCCAATCAGCATTCAGTTCATCCACGAATTGTGTCAATTTGGGCCGCAGGAGCTCGCTCGCGTTAGCTTATGTTGACAAGTGACGAGCAAGTTGCTTGTCGCCTGGAAAGGGTAAGCCATTCAAACAAATGACAGACTTACCTCATGCTGGCAGTTAAAAGTGACTGAGGGAATTAATTGGAAAATGGTGACCGAAAATCACTGGAGGAATTATTTTAAATAACATTTTCAAAGAAAAGTGTGAGCTGTCATAGACTACATTTAAATGATGTCAACATTCAGGTTAAAGTCAAAATTCCGATTTCTGAAACATGCGGGACAACCCATTTACATGCATGTTACTCCTGTATGCATATGTACATGGTAATTCCAGTAGCCCAATTGAAACGGCAACGCACAGACAACCCATTCAATATCAATCACTCCACTAATAATATCGTCAGTTTGCCCCTCGCTCCAAAAGGGTGGTTCAGTGCTGTATCTGAATTCCGCCAGGTTTGTGTATTTCTGTTTGTGTATTTCCAGTGGGTTCCGCGTCACATGCCGTGCATACAAGTACGTCCTGTGCTCAAAAAACCAAGATTGCTTGCGCATAGACCAAGTTCCGTTGAAAGAAGGCAGCGTGATCGCGTTCATGTGACAAAATATTTGGGATAGAAAAGGGATAGAGTTCTTATTCGGGTTTTGCACATTTGCATGGGCTTTCAAAACATGAATTTTGCCAATATTTGAGTTTTGAAAGGGCTATTGACTGCATGTAAAAGTAGTCAAAGTCATGCTTCGTGCTGGTGTTTTATTATCGGGGGAGCTAACAGCAGGCTCGCCTGCACATCTGCATCTCAAGTCAGTAAATGTTTTACTTTTCTATATCAAATCCCCACAGTTTTACCAATTAAAACCGTTTTAGCAATCTAAAATCCTAAATTAATCACAGGGAATTGACATCATGCATCATCTTTGTCAAAAGAATTGTCTGTGCTATTTGCGTGTATACTCTGTCACGGTTCTGTTTGTGACCAACAGGTGGCACTGTAGGGCTCCACCTGCAGCAGCACACCTGTTGGTCTTTATGTACTTAGTTGTTTCAAAGGACTCCCGGCACGACCACTCAGTGTCAGGTCATTGTTTGTTTGTTCCTGTCATGTTTGTTCTTGTTATGTTTCTGGTATTGTTAGTTTTGTGCTTCAGTCATGGTTTTGGTTGGCTACTTTGGATTCCTTTTGTTCTTAGGACTTTGTTTGTTTTGGATTTATTTTTCTGTGTTTTTATTAAATACAATTCATCAAGTTCACCGTGCTCCTCCCTCCTGCCTGCTTTTTGGGGCCCACCACCACGACGCACCGTGACATTCTCGAGGTCATAGTTAACATGAAATGCAAAGGTTGTCTTCATTAGCTTAATTTTTTAGCTCATTTTTATTTTTCCTTTTCAGTGCTAATCACATGCAAGGTAATAAAACTTTATTAAGCTAGCAACTCAAATTGCTTCAGATTGCTTCCCTTAAACATTCATAGGACAGAAAATCCACCAAAGAATATTGTTGGGGGTTTTTTTGTTTTGTTTTGTTTTGTTTTGGTTTTTTTTTATTACAGGAAATGTCAGAATGAGATTGACTAGCCAAGGCTCCAGCTCACCCACAACCTATTGAAGATAAGCAGTAGAGAAAATGGATGGTTACGATTGAGATTTGGATACACAAATCAAATTCAGAATACACATTTACAGTCCAACAGATTTCACTCATTGAGGACTGCATTCGGGCCGCGACACTGCGCGATGCTTCCATAGTGGCAATCGGCCACTCACCCTGACACAGTGGGCAAGTCACTAAACAGACTTTCTGGAAAGTGAACCGTGCAAGCCTGTATCGCGTTCTGAGGCTCCCCATACAATATGTTATCTTGTATCACATAATCCATAAAAAGATAGAGTGTCAGTCAAGGATGACGCAGGTTCCGACAGAAAGATTGATGTAGGTGATAATAAACAGCAAAGTGTGAATATATTGAAAGCCTTGCTCCCATTCACTTGGTGAAGTGCACACTCCTCACAAACGTTTGATTTCGTCCACATATAGCCTACATAAGAAATTGTAAATATGGTTAAGTATTGTTGTGAAACAAAATTAGGGCTGCCACTATCAATTATTTTTGGATTATTCTATCAATTATTCCATTGATGAATCAAATAATTGAATGCAATCTTATTTTGCAAAAAGATAAGATAAGATAAAATAATAAAACCTTCATTTGTCTCACAATAGAGAAATTCCCAATTTTCAGCAGCAAAATTATGAATAGGAGAAAGGAGGAACTAAGCAATAATTAGGAGAGACTCAACAACCTTTTTGAGAGGGGTTCATTCACTGGTACAGTCATTGATTTCCAGGGTAAAATATTCCATTCTGATTAAACAAACGATAATCTGTATGCTTTCATGAAGCACTACAGAGACCAGAGAATACTTACTGTTGAAATCAAGATGTTAGGGTGGTTCTGTTTGTGACCAACAGGTGGCACTGTAGGGCTCCTCCTGCAGTGGCACACCTGTTGGTCATTGTTTCATTAGTGTGTGGTTAAAAGGACTCCCTGCCCGAACAGTCAGTGTCGGATCATTGTGTGTGTCTCTCTGTGCACATGTCATGTTTTTTCTGTCTTAGGTTTTTGCTACTTTGATTTTTTTTTGTGGTTTTTCTGGACTTTATTTGAGGGAGTTTTTGAGTTAGTTTCTCCAGTGTTTTCCTGTTTGCATTTTTGTTAAATACATTTTGGTCAATCCACCCCGACTCCTCCCTGCTTTTTGGGGTCCTACTCCACTCATCATTCAAAACGTGACACAAGAGGATTTGGACAATTTTAAGTTGAACAATGGCTCCAAACAATTGGTCACTAATTAAAATAGTTGTTGATTACCGCTAATTAAATAATTGATTAGCTGTCGATTACATTTGGGAGCTCGAAAAACAAAATGTGTACTTCATTGTATTTTTATGCATTGGTGTTGGTGGCTGTGTCTCGCTGGCTTCAAACGTGGAAAAGAATTTTTTGCCTGTGTGTAAATTTCTGTGCATTTTGATTGGCTACAATTTGCAACTCCACCACATGGTGCAACTGTGATTCAAAATCAATTGCTGGGACTCTGCGTTTCGTGAAATCTCCCCCAACCATACCTGACAGTTGAAATGATGCAGTCAGCCCAAGAATTGTTCTCTTGACATTCAACAAACCAGACTCCTTTTCCGCAGTGACAAATGGAGAAATATCGTTTTAATCACTTCAGAGAATACATTTTCCCCCTTTGAAAGTTCAGTATCGTATCAGGTATCATACTTTATACCAGCCATCAGCGTACTAGAAGATGTTGGACTTTCAGGTTTTACACCCAGTGCAAGTTTTCACACAGGGCAAACTTCCACCAATGCCAACCAATTAGCATTAAACGGCATAGAAGGAGAAACCTTCCTCGATAATATCCAAAATCCTACAGACAGCATGCCTTTACGCCCCTCCCCACACAACTTCGATTGATTTAATATTCACTGAGGAATTCAGGAAAAGGTCAACACAAATGAAATTATTTTAATGGATTTCAACAGATTTTTTTTTCCCTACAGCACCACAAACATTTATTGATATTATTCAGTTCAACTCATTATGTGGAGAACAATATTCTCTGTGAAGGTAAAATAATATGGTACTGCTTAAAACTGACTGGACTATTCAGAAAGGATTTCACAAAGTTGGTGTTTGTAAAGGAAGTGCGCTCTGAGAGAATGACATATATATATATATATATATATATATATATATATATTTTTTGGAATGCAGAATACCTAGTTAGACACTTGATCATGATAGAAAGAGTTCTGAATTCACCACTTTTAATTCAATAAATAAAATTGACACTTGTTAAATTGTTTGATTCTATATACCAGTATATTTTGCTGTTGCCAGCTGAGCGGACAATCCCAAAGGCAAAATCTGAAAGATCCACTTCAACTCTGGAAACTTTGGAACTAATTACATCAAGTATAGACTTAAGTTTTGCCTGAACAGAAAACAGATGGTATTTACGGCAGGGAGACATCAAAGACAAGATGTTCCAGGCTCTATGTCAGTTGTAAAGGTAGTTCTACATTTGGGTACTGCAGTTGGCAGTTTTATTAGAACAACTCGCAACTGTCTGCCCTCAACTCTTGCATATGTAACAAGACTGTGATGCACAGTCTCATAGGTAACCTCACTGATGACACGAAAATATGCAGCAGCTTTCTGTCATCGCCAAATGCAACACCGACAACAGCTCAGCACTGCATTACCAGCAAAGTTCGAAGAACCCAGATTGGTCTTTTGAAGGTCAATGAAACACACACACACACACACACACACACACACACACACACACACACACACACACACATTCCTTTGAGGTTAAATATGGGGAAGCTCGCAGAGAATTTCTGAGAAATGTCAAAACTGTTGGACAGTCTGTTTGGGCCGGTAATGGGTTTGGTTCTTCAGAATACCAAACCGTATTTGAGTTGATTAAGTTTCACAGGTTTTATTTGACTTGAATTTGTCTTTGAGATAAACTCAGTCATATGATGCATACACTTCCCCCAATAATTATTGGAACCCCCGGTTAAAATGTGTTCTAGACCTTCTAATTCAATTTTTTTTCCGAAATAATCCATCCATCCGCTCATTTTCTAATCCTCTTATCCTCACAAGTGTCACGGGTGTGCTGGAGCCTATCTCAGCTGTCTTCGGGCGGGAGACGGGGTACATCCTGAACTGGTAGCAGGGCACACAGAGACGAACAACCATCCGCTCTCACACTCCCACCTAGGGACAATTTAGAATGTTCCATCAACCTGCCATGCATGGTTTTCGAATGTGGGAGGAAACCAGAGTACCGAGAGAAAACCCACGCAGGCATGGGGAGACCATGCAAACTCCACACAGGAAGGCCGGTGCCGCAATCGAGCCCTGCACCTCTGCATTGTGAGGCAGTCGACCACCGTGCCGCCCTTCCTTAAAAATATATGACCAAAATATACAAATAAATAAATAAATAAGAAGATAATCCAACCTTTAATCCAAGTGCACTTATTCAGTGGGTAAAAAAAAAAATCCCACATTAAGAAAGGCTTTAACCAGGGGTGACAATAATTACTATATGTGAGACTACAACATGAAAGTATCAGCTGAATGAGTACAATTGACTGAAAAAAACACCATAAAAAACACATCTGAAAACAAGATGTGTCCACTTGTGCATCTGTTAAAGCATTCTTTTCAGTCAAAAAGGAAGTTCACAAGTCAGCAATTCTTCGAATGAGACAAAAGCTTCCAGAAAAAGAAACCTATATTTAAGAGAAAATAATGTCAGCCTTGGCAGGTTTGGGCTAGTTAAATGTAACCCACTCTGTGTATTATGTTGCCCAAGACTCACAAATGAAGCAATGAAGTCATCGAAACTGCTGTCCACATGCAACCAGCATTAAAACATGAAAATCCTTTGGATGGAGTTTTTGGATGAAAAAAAAACCCATCACTCCAAGTAGGGACCAGCTTGATGAATAGAATCAGTCACAGGGCTCTCCACATCCACATTAACTCAAGTATTTTACTGGAGTATAATTTCGACAAGAGGTGAGTTATGTAATTTATATATATATATTTATTATATTGCTTGTGTACTTGACTTGAAATTAAATCAATCAGTCATTATTATACTGTGATTAAAGGTTATACTGTTTACAATTCAATAGTAAGATAAAGATTTACATTTCAGATCAACTCATCAAAAGATTTTGGCCTCGCCAGGAAAGATTGTTGGTCGTACTACAGAATGATTTATTCTTTGCGTTTTTTGAAAAACCCTGAAAAAAAAACTTCCACCCATAAAAGAATGTCTCATTGTGGTTTTGTTTCACCAACATTACAAGATAAAACATAGGTACGATAAGATTATATTCCCAAATTGCTCAGCCCTCATCCTGATTGATGACTAAGTAGTTCTAATTGGGCCGACAGCTTAAAAGCTTGTTGGCTCCCCAGTGACGAGGACCGGTTCAGTAGCTAAATGTTTCGCCACGAGTGCTGTGCCTGAGAGCTTAGTAAAGCCTAGATTTTTCAGTATTTAGTGGCATCATTTTATACCATCCATCCATCCATCCACCCTCTACTGCTTATCCGACCCCGGTGAGGGCAACAGCTTTAGCAAGGAAGCCCAGACTTCCCTCTGCCCAGCCACATTTTTCAGCTCTTCTGGGGGATCAGTGGCTACAACGCTGATCAACCGCCTCAACAATAGAGACGCGGAACAGGGTCCACTCAGACATAATGTTCCGCCTTTTCCCCGGGACATGGCCGAAGCTCCACCAGAACTCTTTCTGACATGGGAGTTTGCCTGACGCTCCCGTCAAACCTCTACATACGTTTGGGTCTGCCAGGTCGGACCGGCAACTTTCCCCACCCTTGGAGCCAACTCACCTTGTGAGTTGGCTCGCCCATCTCTTCACCCAAGAGTCCAAAACATGCAGCCGCAAATGTTTGTATATGATGTTCATTATGGACAATCCATAAGGAGCACAGAATATCATTACCAGAACACCAATGCTGTTTGGTGAGGAGGCACAAACAACAGTCAGTTATCCGTCTCCCTACCCAAAAGCGCAGGTAGGCTACGCTATCGTCCACCGGTGTGAACCCCAATATCCAGGCACTGAGCCAGGGGACAATAAGTATGCCCACACAAGCTCTCCCACACCAGCTCTGTGGGCAAGTCCAGAGTGGAACAGAGTCCAACCCGTCTCGAGAGAACTGGTACCAGAGCCCAGGATGCGTGTGGAGCCAAGGCGGAGCTTCACTGCCTTGCACAGCAGCTCAGGCTCGTTTGCTGCCAGAGAGTTGACATTCCATGTACCTAGAGCTACCCTCTCGAGCTGCGGATTGGACTGCCAAGGTTCGTGTCTTTGGCCCCAGCCCAGCTCACAAAGCCTCCAACCTCTTTAGCCCCTCCCACAAGTGATGAGCCCATGGAAAGAGGTAGCCACGTTGCCACTTCGCGCTAAGCCCATCTGGGCCCCACGGGTGTTGGGGCTCATTTTATACACATTGCGATTTTTTTTAATCATTGAATTATAGCATGGTTTTTAAACAACACTCTTTTCCATGGTGTGTCAACTTCACAAGACATATTTACTTTCACTTTACAGCGACTTTAAGGAACCTCCAGGAATGCTTTCATTGTTTCAGTCAAGTTAAAATAACCAAAATGGTGACGCTGTCATGTCGCCCTCTCAGCATCCCTTCCCATCTCCTCCTCTGAAAATAAAAACACGAATCCCTGATGCACTCAAAGTACATATCTCTCCAGGGACACAGCATGTCAGTAAGTGCTGTCAAAGTATGATGGGAAATGTGTGTTATGATTTTTTTTTTTTTTAATCTCTGGCCACTTCTCAAGCTCAATAGCTATTTGTATGCATGTCATTACATCTGAAAGGATATGCCTCAGTGCAAATGTCACCTTGCAGAGTATCACTTTACTTTTACATTTGACAGCAAAGCTGTACCGTATTTCCATTTCCTTTCGTTTCCTATCTACAAAAAGCCAGTAGTGCAGTGGTCGTTTTCTAACCTTTATAACAGGCCAGTAGTGTGGTTGTCCCAGCAGCTTGACCACAGCAGGGACACCATAATGCAGCCGCACAGCATTCTGGGCCAGCTCAGCATCGTGGTGGCGCGACGTGAGGTGACGCAAGGCACAAACCGCCGGCTCTGCAACATCTTCTTTTTCACCAGCACGCAGTACAGCATGGATCAGTGCCTCCACACCGCCAAACTGAGTGACTCGAGTCTGAAGTGAAGCAAATTTTAAAAAATGAATGAAAATGTTTAACAGTTAAGGGATCACGACAGCAATACATACAACCAATCAAGATGAGGAATTGCTTTTATAAAACGATTACCTCGGGAGTTTTGAGCGTAATGTGTGTGAAGATATCAACAACAATTAAAGACCCTTAAAGGGAATTTGGAGATATGAAACATGTGAGAAGATAATTGCTGAAAACATGCACAAAGACTGAGAACTATATTATACTTAAACAGAGATAAATTGTCGAAGTGTTTTTCACCGTTTCAGTTTTCCTAATTTTTGAGCGTGGCTAAATTGGTGCCGGGTGACACTTTGTCCCCTCTCCTCAACTACAAAAGCACTTGAATGCCCTCGCATGCATCAGCTTTGTCCTATCCGGCGCAATTGCAAGTTATAATTACTTGGTCCTTTTCCACCACTACAGTGTTCAGTTAACTACTGGAGCTAGTAATGCTTGTACCCCAAAATGCATGTTATGGATGCCACAATTTAGAACAGCCTCATCACATTATTTCGATTTCCAATGTATTCAAGCTACCGTAATATGTCTGAATGAAAAGCATTAGGTACATGCGCAAATGTCTGTCTTGTAGTGTCAGCCGCAGGCTGAAGTGCATGTACTACCTTTTTAATAAACACTTGACTCTGTTGTGTATCTGTTTGGTGGACCCACACACCGACATAACACCCCCCATTGAGGTGACGCCACGGTATGCGCTGCCTGTCCTTTGGCCGAAAGGGGCTTCACTTGACTTGCAACCCAGCCGATACATAGCGCCTATCATCAAGGCATGGAAAACCCCGCGACGACCCAGTGAGATATATTCAAGCCGTCAGCTTTTAGGGACCATTTTCACAGTTAAAAAAATATAGTAATGAGTAGGCATAAAGCTGTGTGGTATTTCATTGATATTTACTGTCATTTCCAGGGACCAGAACAAAAAAGTACTCTCACACTAGGGTGGTCCACATTTTCATGGCAAAAAAAAAAGTTTGTCGGATTCGTCGGGCCGGGTCGGAATTCTTGTCGATACTATGGTACAAGGTTCTGTGCAAAATTTCATTCCGATCTGATGATATTTTCCTGTCCCGCAAAGCGGCCAAAGTTTCCACCATAACAACTGGTCTCAATAGGGTGAACATGTGTATTTTAACCGTGCCCTGTTTGCCATGCGTGACACTGGCTGGGCTGAATGTTGCCCGAACAATCACCTCCTGACTAACTAACCATTCCATCGCTGCTCTCAGCAGCCGGAGACAAACTCAAACGCACGCCTAACACACAACGGTCACCTACTGGCGAGCTAATATCTTTCAATTGAAGTCGAGAATCGCCGGAATTCTTACTGGACGCTGAGCTGAGGACGCTTTTCG